ATTTGTTTTATTATCGATTTAATTTTTGTAAAACTTTTAACGAATTTTTTATTAACAAACTCAAGGATTTCTAAGCGATCAATGGCAACGTTGTACAGAAAAATTATCTTCAGCGCGTAAGACTGTGTATCGGAAATTCTAAAGATATGCTCAATTTAAAATTATTTTGCGATATTGCTCTTAAACTGAATTTTATAGTTTAAGTGCGAAGAACATGATATTTAATAAATAAAGGTGACACACAAAATGTTAAAAAAAAGTCCCAATTAAAATTTTTAACATTTTTAACATTATTAACAAACTCAAGGATTTGCGCGATAATGGCAACGTTTACAGAAAAATATCTTCAGCGCTTAAGACTTGTATCGGAAATTCTAAGTGTCAATTTAAAATTATTTTGCGATATTGCACCTGAATTTTATGGTTAAGTGCGAAGAACATGATATTTAATAAGTAAAGTGTCACCAAAATTTAAAAAAAGTCCCAATTAAAATTTTTAACATTTATTTTTGTACTTTTATCTATTTTATTTGTGTGTCACCTTTATTTATTTTTGTGTGTCACCTTTATTGTTTTTGGTAATTAAAAATCTGAAACCTTTCAGATTCTCTTAAAAAGAATTAATTAAATGTTTCAATAGTTTCTCCCTCTATCTCTCTCTCTCCCCCTCTTTTTAAGCAGGAACAAATGCCTTAGTTTTTAAAATTGAAATTTATTTTAAGTTCTGAGATTATTCAACAATTAATATATACTTTCATCAATTGATTGCAGTTAGTCACATTTATTCCTATATTTTTCTTTTACTATCTCAGTATCTTTTGTGTATTCAACTGGATAGTTTTTTGGTGGAGGTGGTAAAGAATTATCTTCTTCTTCAATATATATATTGAAGCAGAATCTTCAGAATTCATTAATCCTGTGAAAAAATTAAAACAGTAATTTTTGCCAAATTGTTTGATGCTAATATATATGTTGTTTCTGTGATTTAGTACTTTTCAGAAAATGAAGTCTTTTAACTTAATTTGATTTACGTTTTTAAGTATTAATTTTTTTTCATATTATTTTCAATTGTGATGAAATATTTTGAAGTCATTGTAATAAAATATTCAAAGCGACAACTATTCAGATGTGGTGAATAGGATACTAAAAGCAAAAAATAAAAATGTTTTAAGTATTATTTAAAATGATAAAGTTTTGTTTTCCCTTTTTTATCCGAGAATGTTTATAATTCATCAAGGATAATTTCTTTTAAGTTCTAATCCTAATCTGAAATCTTTGAAGAGCACCTTTTTCTTTTTTTTAATGTGGTAGTTTTTATTTCATGTAAGAATATCTGTATTCCATATACATGAATATAGATATTCGTACGTTGTGAGAAAGATTATGCAATAAAACAGGTGGATTTAATGGTTCATATGTTGAAATTCTGTTATATATAACATGCTTTTGTTTTTATGTGAGATATTTACTAATGCACTATAATTAACTAGTGCGCTTATAAATTTAAAAATTACTTTCAACATGTATGTATAAATACATAGAGAGAAAGAAAGCAAGTGACATTATGTGTTCTCATAGTTAGATTTCAGATAAATATCTTATTTCTTACCTCTGAAAATGTAGTTAATAATGTTCGCTTTGTATCAGTTTTTATTTTAGATTATTTTAGAGTTACTGAAATAAAATCGCATTTTGAATTCTTATGTATTTTACCCTTTTAGCTGAGAAACATTTTTTTTTGTGATGATAAAAAATTTCATTCATAAAGGATCAAAGTAATAATTCTTAAAAATTTGGAAAACTAATTGCTGTGTTTAATCAGTAAAATAGTTTAAAAGTATCAGGTACAATAAGAATTTTAAGAGGTTATATTTGGATTAATTCATAGTCAAATTTGCGTTTATTACTGTGAGAATTTCATACATGTACGTGCGCCCTCCCCCCCAAAATTAATGGCAATGCAGTTTGTGTTTTAAGTAATAATATGTAATTTTACTTTTCTTTTTGCTCGCCCTCCTTCCTTTACTCCAGCTAAAAAAAAAGGCGTGCGATTACATATTTATATAACGGTCCGTTAATATAATACCCCATTTTAGCGGTATATGAATAATTTTGGTGTGATGATATTACATGACATATCATATGATGATATTCTTTCAAAAGCATTATTATGTTGTTCTTTTGTTCAAAACCGAATGAACGTAGAGAAGCAGCATTCCGTGGCATTTTTTGGAATGCAGAAATCTCCCCTAACCTCCGCCAGCTTAATTCGAAAGCCAAACTTGTAAAATACGTCATGAGCCTAACTTGTTTCCTCGAGTTTTTCGTTGCTGTTTTTCGAATTTCCCACCGTTTTTCAAACTCTCTCATATTCAGAAAGTTGCAGTTGATCTTGCAATAATGTTTAGTATATCCATGTCGTTTTCTGTTCCTACCATTTTAAGCACTGATAATTCTTTCATGCTCGCTATTGTCCTTTAACTATGTTATTCGTCAGGTAGTTATCACTGATAATAAAGGCTAGACTGAAAAGCTTTAATAATGAAAATCTGAAATGTCCTGAGCGGAAAGTTTGTTGTCAGCTGCAAATGGTGCCCAGGGCATGGTACATTTAATTTATAAATTTTTGATACATTTGGTTTTTACAGATCATGTATTCGTTTTTTCATCATAGTACTGTTTCCGGGATCTTATAATGAAAACTTTATTCTTAATTTACTTAAATTCGATGAACCAAATATTAGAAAATTTTATTAATACAAAGCATATTCTTCAGTTTCAGAACTGAATTCATTTACAGCATAATCGAATACTTAAGCTATTTTTTTAAAGAGATTTAAAAAATATTGTACATAGTTGATTCTGTTTCAGTTCTTGATGTTTGGTGAAAATGAATAAATGAAACTCTTAAACGAAATAGGTGAAAACCATCACGCTATATATAAAAGCCGTATATTCGACTAACTTACGAAATTAACCAACGTAATCGACTAACTTTTTTTACATTGTTTCGATCAACAGTTATCCAACAAAGAGCATTGAAATTATTTGAAATTAATTTAAATCGCGTTTTATTACTTGCAATAAGATCGAAAGAATTAATTTTGTTGCATATTAATGATTACGTGGTAAGATTTATTAACAATTGGTTGTTAATACAAAACACTGAATAGGATTACTCGCTTAGTAAATATTTTTACCTGATTTCAGGTGAGTCCATAGGGATTACAAATAATGGCAGATTTGGATTAAATCCGGTAAAATCTTTAAAGTGATTGATACCCCATCTGCGTTTATGTATCTATCCGAAAGTTTGTACACAATGATTAGTATACTTTCTAAAGTTTTTTCATCGAACTGTGTTAAGCACCATCTGCGATTTGGCCTGATTGTTCTCTACTGAGTCAAAATCATGAATTTTTCATTTGAATTTTTCATTTCAAAGTTTAAAAATAGGTCACAGCTTTCCAAAATTTGGAAAGTATGTAGCGATTACCATCAGTTTCTTTTCTGTGCCCCAAACCTTTAACGTTTTCAGTGCCGTGGCATGGCGTATTCTCAGGGTGACGCAACTAGTTCCCATCCCTGCACAGCTGATGAGGGTTCCCATCCCTGCACAACTAGTTCCCATCCCTGCACAGCTTCCCTAGGAACACCTTGTCTTAACCAATAACCATGAAACGTTGCATTGGTTGTCTGACTTGGAGAGCCAGAGTCTCTTTTCACAATTCCTTTCGTGTTCCAAAAACATTATTACACGGTATTCGTTGCGCTGCTGACTTTTGTTGGTCTCATTGTTCCGTGAAGAATTAGGGGTCCTTCACTACGAGGTTCAGTTCGTCGTCACATATCATAGCCATAAAACAAAACTCTCGTCGCCTGTGATGACTGTGACAGACATTCAGGCCATAATTGCAGAGCATGCTAGCTAGTTAAAAACTGTTAGGGATCACTCGAATCCTGGTGCAAGCATTGAGATCAATATATGAATGCAGAACGAGATTGTTTTGAAAAGATGGCGATTAGATTTATTTAGGTGAGTTTCAAAACTTTTTTTTTTGTCCTTTTAGTTAACTAATTTGAAGTTATTTGAATTAGTAATTTGCAAAATTTGTCCTATATTATGATGCTGATTGCAAATGAAGGATCTCTGCAATAATCTTCGAAAATCAAACGAGATTGTTTCCCCCAGAAGTAGATTATTCTGCGTCCTAACATTTATGCTATCAGTGCAAAAAGACGCGAGGCTAATGCTTTCGTTTCATTTTATGTCGTGAAGGGTCTTTCCTACAAAAATGAATTATTGACATCCAGTGCGAAATGTGAAATTCATATATGGTAGGCGAATTCTCTGATAAATACTTGCCTATTTATTTGTTATCGCTTTTTGCCACTTACAGAGCAGGAAACTTAAGCTTTTGAATTTTCTTTATTAGATAATTAAAGAAAAAAAATAAAAAATAAATTAGAATTATGTTTTGCTTTGGTTGTGATAAAATATCTTAATTATGTTAACAGATGTGTGGAATAAAGTACTAGAATAATATTCTGTTTGCAACAAAGGAGTAGCAATATTATGTTCTGCATAGGCAAGAAGAGAAAGGCGAATATTTTGCGCCTTGTGACGAGGAGCTAAAGCTACTCCTTTTAAATACACGTTATGTCATTTTTATTGGAATAATTGCTGAAGTGAGATAAAATTTTAAGCACATCTTTTATCTTTTTATTGGCCAAGTCTGAAACTTTGATAATGCAAAATAAATATTCATTTCGAGATACATGTCAGATGATAGGAATATTGTAATAAAAACGAACTTTCAATTTCATCTAGTCCAGGTATATTGGGATCTTGACCTTTAAATAATAAAATGCGCTTCGTGAAGTTATCCCTCTTGAAAAAGCGCTCTTGAATGGTCGGCTGGCCGCTTGTTCCTGATAGGCCGTCGTCGACCAAAACAGCTGGGAGGTGGAGCGTGTGCGGCTGATGCAGGGAGGGAGAATGGGTGATAGCAGTGTGTAGCGCAGACTGCGTTCGATTCACTACGCCGGCCGATTATTCGCACGAATATGTGAACTTGGTGAGAGTGCTTTTAAAACTGCCGACAGAGTGCGTCGATTTTCGTATAAGCGCCACGCTGCGTCATCGGTGATTTTGCATTTTTGTATGAATAAACATATTACGTATATTCCCAAGGCCTTTTCCCGACTTCTGATAGAGCACGGTTTTTCCGTGTATCTCAGAATTCTAGCTTCGAATATCAGAGGACATTTTTCTCGGCTTTGAATCTCATCTTAAATGTCGGGTTATTAATACTGTAACGAATTTTTTATAGTAATTTTAGAAACAATATTTTATTAAGCTATTTTATCTAGAGGTGCATCTGCATAGTATAGTAGTATACAATCATTTGTTTACAACTGTTTGAAATGGAGTTTTGCTGTGGAATAGATCATTTTAATTCATAGCATGTTCCAGCTGGATAATCAACGTTTCTAGTGTCTTAAAAATTTAAAACATATTTTTCGATAATTTATTTTAGATAATCCGTGCTGTAGAAAATGTTAGGAGGAACTTTTCATTAAAGTGTCTCAATTTTTTTTATCTAAATATTTAGAAGACGGGTTACTTTTGCACAGTAGTATTTAGCTTAAGTTAACCCATGCCAACAACGAATTCGAAAAACGAGCAAAATCCTCAGACACATGCAGTTAGTAACGGAAGTGCCCTTTCAACAGATGCTTGCTTGCTGTCAGTTCCATTGGTTGGTACCGAGAATTGTGTGTCTTCAACAAATAGCAATGGTAATGGTGTTCTGGAAAATGATAGAGCTACCGAAGTATTTGCTCAAAACGCTTCTGGGACTTCGCATCGAAGCCCCCAGGTGAAATTTCAGTTACCAGGCACATGTGATTCAGAAGTTTCTAATAAAAAGTTCCTGGGTGGTGTTAATATTGCCAACGGGGATTTCGGATCAGACACTGCAGAAAACAAACACGATTCATCTTCTTCATCATTTCATAATCATATGCCAGATTCTGAAATTTCTAATGGAAGTTATGAGAAAACGTCCGCACTTAGTGATAGCCAATCAGGATCTCCTGGTAAGCACAAACCAACGTCCACTCTCAGTCCACATCATAACTTAGGTTCATCTGAATGTTATGACATCTCATCCCAAACTCAGGTATTCGGAAGTCACAGTGACTCTTCCAGTGATACATTCCGCTGTATTGACACTTCAGACAACAACAAAACATGTGATTCATCTTTGGAGGATAAAGATTCTCCTATCGAGGGAGCATGTAGTGCAAATCCTACCCTGTGGTTAGGAGATGATCAAATGCTGCTGCTTCCTGGCAAAGGAAGATCTGAAGAAACAGACTCAAACTCTGGCACAAGTGAAACTAAATCGTTTGAAGGACTTCTGTCACCCAATGGTACCAGTATTCTGTGGGACGAAGATACAGATTGGATACTTCTGTTTGATAATATGATTCGATATGCAGACAGGAAGCAGCAGCGTACTACACGATCATGTGGATGTAGAGGTAAGTTCTAGTGTGCCTTGATTATCAGTATTAATTTAGTAGTTACAGCTGCTATTGTGGTTACTGTAGACTTTTGTATTGGAACATTAAAGTGAGAAAATCAAGAAAAAAATCCTGTTGTGTAGTACATTATAAGTTATAATCTTTTATGCTGTTTCAAATGCTTTCAGGAAGGTCTAAATTCTTAAATGGAACACGTGTTGATCGGATTTTTTATTCAGCCTTGCTTTGAAAGAAGTTAACCATTTTATATATTATATTGATGAAGTACAGATTTTTTTTTTGGTGGGGGAAGTTCTATTAATTAAGGGAGGAAAGTCTCCATTCATTTAGTTTTTTTTTTTTTTTTTTTTTTTTTTTTTTTTTTTTTTAAGTGTGGTCGAAATGAAAAAATGAAGCTATATTGCAACTTCATTTACGAATTTATATCTTATTTTTATTTCTTGTAATTTAATATATTTTTAAATAGTTGTATTGCTTTGCATGCAGCGATACTGTGATATTGTTTTAATAGAAAGCATTCTTAAGTCATATAACTTAGAAAAATGGCCTCAATTAATTAGTGTTTCTAGCTAAATATAAACATTAGCATTTAAAATTAAGAAAAACAGCAAGTAAACGTATTGTGATTGTTTCTAATTATTTATGTTTAAATGATTAGAATCTCGCTGAATGGGAAGAAGATCAAATTGTCGTTTTTGTAATTCTTAATTTTGTTTGTCTTATGTGTATTGCCTTTATTAAAACTTCAGGATTAATACACTTAAATATGTTAATAGTTTGCCTTTTATTTTACATTTTTCATTATTAGGTGTAGTTATTATAACAACATATAGAAATGACGCATTAGCTAGCATTTTAAAACATTTTATTAAATATGCTCTTTGAGCTTGTCATTGCATGTATCATGTGCTGTGTTGTATCTGAAATTTTGCTTCAGAACTGAAACTTGAGGTTAATGTAAAGGTGGTTCAAAGTAAAAAATCGTTTGTACATCTGGTGAAGTATTGTACCTTTTTTAACCTTTAAGTGTTATTTGATTATGTCTAGTGAATTTCAACTATTAGCTTTGTTTAGAAATACAAATCTTTTTTTTTTTTTTTAATTAGTATTCGTTTTATTCATGCAACTGATGCTATATATTCCTTACCGATGTCAGGCAAAAACTGTTATTTTCTTATTGCTTTTTTGTATAACTGCTCATATCCATTAAGAAAAAGGAAATTGCATGAAAACGGCACCCAATTCTTTTTATACTTAAAAAAAAGGTAATTAGTAATATTTACGGGGCGTTCAGTCCTCTTTTTATTCGATTTTGATCTAACACAATTTAAAAGGCGAGTATTGAAAAGTTTTCGTCTTAATTTAAGTTTGAAATATGTTTTTTTTTCGGGGGGGGGATTCTTGGAATTCACAGCAAATTTGATTTTCAAGTCAAATTTTATAAAGTAGCTTTGATTTTGAAAATACATATTTTATTCCTTGAAATCTCTAGAAATAAAAACAACATTAGATTAATCAATAAATAGGAATTTTTCATAGCCAAAATGTATTCTTTTTTTTATGTACTAAAACTTGATTTTAATTTACTAGTAAAAGGAGATTTAGAAAACGTTTTAAATTCGATGATGAATGAAGAAATAGGATAAAAATTATTTAATTAGAACTAGGGCATAGGAAAATTATTCAGAACCTGCGTCATTCGTAATCAGCAAGTGACGACCAGTAAAATCTAGTTCATAAGCTTACATGAAAGTCATAATTTTTCTGAAATATTTGTGTTCTTGAATTAATGACACATTATTTTGATTCTGAAGAATTTTTTTTTTATATATATATATATTTATGCATTTCGATTTTTTTAAAAAATAAACTTCATTTAAATGAATAAAAAACAAATTCAGAATACAGTAAAAAATTTTAAAATGCTAATATTTTTGGAAAAGAGGAGAAGAAAATTTGTAATTTACATTACGATTTCACATTGAAATCAACATTTTAATTCGTTATAGATCTTTAGGATTTCTTTTGCGTTTTTTAAAAATCACTTATCTTTTGTTTTTTTGAGCCATACTGTTTTCACGACCTTGTAATTCAGTTTTCCTTTAAAAACAGAAAGAACGTTTAGTTTTTACTAAGGAGCTCTTTCTGAAAGCTCTTTCCCCCCCCCTGTTGTTTCCGGAAATTCTGAGTACTAGATTTTACAAAATTTGGTAATATTCATACTCATTAGATTGGTGTTTCTCAATGTTTGTCCCACATCCCAAAGAGGGAAACTTGATTGTTAAGCAGAGCAAGTTCTGAATGTTAAATATTATTCATATGTTACATAGGTGGCATCAGAATTTTAGAAAGGCTTAAGTGGGCCATAGGGAGGGAAAAAAAAAAAAAAATTTTTTTAAATGTTCTTATGTTATGATATCTGTCTTGTGAATTCAAAATAGAGTGTACTTATGAGGGGTATAAATCCTCCTATACCGAGGAATCAATATTAGTAAAAAGGAAAATGGTCAAAAATAGGAAGAGTAGTGGTTTTGTGCTAATAAATAGAATTCAAAGCTACCCATTTTTCTTTTCTTTCACTTTATTTCAAATCTTATATTATATTTTCCTACCTTTCTTTAATAATTTGTCATTTTTTAAACATCCCTACCCTGTTAACCTTGTGACATTTACAAAGTAAAACTAAAAAATGCATTGTTTAGAGAATATAGGTTGAACGTATTGACTTTGAAAGAAAAGCATCTGTTAGGTTGCAATAAATTTATTATTTTACTTCTTAAAAAGAAAACTCACCTTCAAGTATGCTCTCTAGTTAAAAGCCGTTTTTGAATATCTATATAGGAAGCAAAAGAAATTCGTGACAAGACGGTTGAGGGTGTTCTATCCCGTTTCGGTTTTTGTGAATTTATGTCTGTAGGCGAATTGAAAATTCATTACGCGGTTTTATATTTCATAAACATTACTAAGTAGATTACTAAGTAGATACTTTTGTTAGGAAATATGAAGCCCATCAGTATTTTTGTCAAACGTACAAAATATCCATAACGATTGTTGGTTTTTAAAAATGCTTTTCAGTATTCGTCATAAAAAATAATGCTCTATGTTACGTACTTCTCGTCATTTACAGAACAAACATTGCGAAATTTATCCATTTTTATTCACCATTTAGGTGGATTTTATTTTGCCAGTACGTGCCATCTTGATTTCAGCAATCTTAACCGCAGTGTATTTTCGCGTCATTGATTTTCCACCACAGAATGCCATGATAGAACATTCATAATGCTGGCGAAAAAATGCGTGAAATATTTGGAATTTTATATGAATATTCTGCTGCCAAAGAATGGCAGTTTTGATTGCCATTGTGAAATCCTGATATTGTGTAGATTCTTCATTTACCCAAGCAGTTTTTATATGTCTAGTTATCGCGAAACTTCATGCAATTTTTCTCAAGCGTAGAACTCCCAGAAAAAACTCAACTGTTAAAGCTTAGCGAGATTTTAAAATGAAATAGACAGAGATTCTTAGTTAACATTTCTCTTCCTCCTGAAAACTAACAGATTAATAACTTGAATGTTATTTAGTATTCAACTTTCTCATTTGAGTTGCATATTTTGTTCTGGTACGAAGTACAATAACAGATTAATAACTTGAATGTTATTTAGTATTCAACTTTCTCATTTGAGTTGCATATTTTTGTTGTGGTACGAAGCGCAATGTTTGAGCAAGCTTTTAGTCATGGAAGGTGAAAGTAAGAGGGTAATCTTTTGATTATGTGCTTTCTCACGTAATGAGGTCGTGAAGAGCAAACAGACGCTTTGAAACCTTGTCGAATAAGAAGCGCAAAAATTTGCTGAATCTTTATCTGTAAACACTAGAGAAATAAATTGGGCTTTTATATATCCGCTCCCCCCTTTTTTAATGGCATTAACTTTAAGCCATGGAGGTAAGAAAGAACTACTCTTACTTACTACCTCCATGCTTTAAGCAGTCGATAGGTCTTTGGTGAAATTTAAGCAATAATTTATTAAGTTTACAGGTGTATATTTTCTTCTAGTTTTTACTAATTTCGCTTTAATAGTTATATATATGTATATATTTATGATTTATAAATTCGAGGTAGGCAATGAATTTAAAGCATCGACGCAAGTTTTTGTCACATTTCTTAGGTAATTTTAAAGACATATAAGTCGTTTGTGATACTCCGTTTATAATTTAAAAATGTCATTTTGCGATTTTGGATATATATTTATTATTAGTCCAAAGGGGCAATTTGCCCAGGACTATTAATTTCTTTTTGGCATTTTGCGTTGAAATGTCGGTTCACTTTTCAAATTGTTGCCGCCAAATATTAGAGCCCTGTATTATATTTAAAGAAACTAAATAATGAAGAATTGGCTTAAATGTATGTATGTTTCTCGCATTCTGATAAAATAACGGTACCTAGAGCCATCCAATTTTGAATAACGTACGTTCCCACCCGAATATGGACATCTGTAAGCTTTAATTTGGAATTCAGAATTTGTTTTATTATTGGTTTCATATTTTGTAAACCTTTAACGAATTTTTTATTAACAAACTCGACGATTTCAAAGCGAGTGATGACACCACTGTAAGGGGGAAAGGGGAGGAGAAAAAACACTCTTATCTTCAGCGCGCGAGACTATATATCAAAAATTCTAAAAGACATGCTCATTTTAAAATTATTTTGCGATATTGCTGTTACACTGAATCTTATGGTTTAAGTGCGAAGAACATGATATGTAATAATTAAAGGTAACACACAAAATGTTAAAAAAAACGCCCCCCTTTGCGCGTAATGTAAAATCTAAAAGCTTTCAGATTTTTTGGCCCACCAGCGGCCGAGTGGTAAAATCGCTGAACACTGGTAGTTCGGTCCGAGGTTCGAATCCCGCGAACGGGCTGGCTGCATGGGCGTTTTCGTGGTTTTCTCCATGTGTAACGTGTATACGAGCCAGTTCCCTTAGAAAGTCCTCCAC